AAAAAAGGTGAAGAATTATAGTTTTCACTATCTTGCTCTTTAGTAAGCAGCTAAACTCATCACATATGATGAACAGACAAGTCAAAACATTGGTTTGGCCAGATCTACAAACTGTTGACTCAGGTAATTTTGTCTCTGCAAGTGGCGTTACCCAGAATAAAGTATAGCAGGAGAAAGACAAAAGCCCCAGAAAAATTCTGTCTTCCCTTCCTCTCATTTGTTTCCAGGCAGTATAAAGATTAATTTGTCTCAAAATTACACACAAAGGAAAAATTGTCCAGGCAACTGATAGTTCAGGCATTACTTTTACTTTTGTTCTCCTTTCTGCATACTACAATAACCTTGCCCTGAACAGACTTCATGAGTTAGCTATATTCAGGACCTATCAGTATGCAGAACTACCTTTTTTTTTTCCCCCCCTCAATTTTTACCATATTTGTCAATCATTATTTTAACACATCTTCAATAAAGACAAAGCTCATGCATAGCATTTATCCACTTCTGTCAACAGGAAGCACAGAAGTTATCATATTCATATAATTTGCTCAGCTTCCACAGTTTATAAGTCAGCCACATTCTTACACGCTCTGTCAAGTAGTAAGTTATGTTTAGCAGTGGACTAGTTTTATTTAACAGTTGTCTTCACCATAGATACTACACCAGGAAGCATTTTAGACTCGGCAACACTATTATTTGTAGGGCTTTCTTTGTGGGCGGCAGTCTCAGCGTTGCAGCTCAAGTGATCTACCAATGTAGGTACTTCTCACAGTTTAGCTCTTGGAGCTTTTTAACACTGTATCGTGTATTCAGCACACCTGGAACATGCCATCTCTACACAGCAAAATTATGGATGTATGTTTGGATAAAGCATAACAGCCAAAGAAAGATGAGCCAAAAGTAACCTGTTCTTTATGATTATATAGTTAGGTTCCCCCTTAAATGCTATTAGTGTCCCTCTCCTTTTTGCGGCATAAGTAGGAGTTTCGGGAAGATGACTGTTCTCACATACTTCAGCTGTGTTCTGATTTCTCTGCAGATCACAAAAATGTGTCCGCAGAATTTAACGTTATAGATAGGCAAATACTTGGACAGTGGTTACATACATATGGAAGCTGAGGGATGATAAAAGTCTGAATTTCACTCTTGAGTAGCCTTTATAAGCAGTAGCACCAAGGAACATCAGAATGTAGAAAAGGAATAAAAAGAGATCATAGGACATTAGCCCTCCAGGCTGTAAAATACTATGTAAAAGTGGGCTTCAATGTCGCTCTGAAATAACCCAGACACTTACTTTATGTGATTCTAGATATTAGGATAAAAATCAACATCCATAAGGATTTTTCAGAGTATATTGATCTTTTTCCCTTTGAGCTAGTTCTTTTTGATTTTTAAATCCGAAGAGCAAGGCAGGAAAAGCCTAAAGAATGCAAGAAACCAACTAACTCCTAGTCAGGGTCTAAATATAAATAAGATATGATTTTCCCACCATCTCTGAAAATGAAGAGAAAGAATTAGGGGCAATGCTTCTTTCATATCAAGGAGGTTACTAAACAAAAATCAGATATAGAAATCTGTTACAACAGGAAGGCACTAATGCCAAGACAAGAATCTCCAGATATTGAAGCATAAGTCCACGTGTAGAACAGTGAATGGTAATCAGTTAGTGTAGTACAGAGAAGACAATGGAAGTGCAGTGGATAAGCTGTAAAAATCACTACAGAAGATAAGAATAGGGAAATATATATAAGATACACTATACCAACAAAAAAGGGCCAACTCCAACACTGCCGACAAGGATTATTGGAAATATCATACCTTTGCAAAAATCATTTAAGAGGGAATTTGGTACTCATAGAATAGCCTCAGACACATGGAGTCAATGATAGAAGCATGACAGAAAGGTCTACACAAACTTGACAAAGCTACTAAAAATTAGGTAACAATCTTTTTTTTTTTTTTTCCTCTTAAAATAAATTTCTCTGGTCTGATATTTCTCATGACCTACTATAATTGCTTCTCAAACTTATCACTTAGCTGCCTTCTAATGAGAAAAATCTTTGTAAAAGATTTAGTACTCATAATGCGTATTCCATTTGCAGTAAAATTCAAGTATTTCTGAAAAGTTTTTTCAAAATTCATAGGTGAATGTTCTTGACCGTAAGTTTTTTTCCCTTGAAGAATCATAGAAAGTGCACACAAAAGGGATTCAACCATATAAGGCAAGCTTGTAAATCAAAGGGAATATTTTTGGAAATTATTTTGTAGTCTTGGTTGAAACCTAAGTATAATTGCTTCTCAAACTTACCACTTGGCTCCCTTCTAATAAGAAAAATCTTGGTAAAGCAACTGTATTAGCAACCAAAAGTATTGACAAAGGAATTAAGAGTACAAATGAGTTGAAATAATCTCACATCACTATACCAATAATGATAAGAGATTGTATAAAGTGATAAGTAAAGAACCCGTTTCCTGCATGCATGGGATGTGAAGGGAATAGTTTCACTTATTTTCTTTAGTGATGATCTAGTCTTACGCTGCTTGGTAGGGAAGGAGTTGGTTGCAGAACCCAGAACTGGAACAGACAAGACTTTACTGAGAGGTATGGCAGTAAAAACAAACAAGCAAACAAAAAGCCAAGGGTGAGATTTCTGGGAAGTATTGCTCCACAGGTTTTGTCTGATAATTGTTTCTTTTTGGTTTGTCCATTTTTCATACAGCTGGGAAGGAAACACTAGCATCTTCCTCCAGTGCTACCTCAGTGACCTCTCTCAACTTCTGATACAAACTCTGGAAAATATGTCAGAAGTATCACCTATGGAATTCTTTTCTTTAACCACTTCCATCTCATGGAGTTCCCCCACCTCGATTGCTATAAGTTTCTATCACCAGACCAGTGGCATCCTCTAGGTCACTTGACAATATTTTAATCTGTACCATGATTCTATGATAAGTGATATTATACAAACAGCAGATTAGATAGAAGGCACTGAAGTAATTTCAGGTACTGATATAATTCACCTTGCCTCAGGGATCTGCTGAATGGCATGTGTTATATAAAATATGCATAATTTTGGGAAGGCTTTCACATTTAGCCATTAAAGCATTGCAGTTATTCCAGTCATTATCAAAACCATGACCATGTATTTGGCATCTTTAAAGAGCACAGGAGCTCTTGATAAACAATTTTTAACGAAAAAAACAGGTATGCAACTATGTTGACATTACACAAGTCCAGTACAAAATAAACAACAGGGAAGAAGGTCACAGCTGGCCCCCCCTCCAGGACAGGGGAGTGGAGCTTTTCAGGGTAGAGAAAATTCACCACAGGGAGATGTGCACTGTGACAGACATCTTATGTAGACCTCCAGTACTCCCTTCCACTGGGTCCGTTTGTGGAGGAAATTCTCCTTTCTCCCAACCTGTTCCTCCACTTTACCATTTCAGAAAAGTCTATATGAACTGGTAATCAGTTGTGAGATTTTTCAGGGGTTCCTTGAAATTATTATTTTAGGGCAAAAAGGGAAAAGGAAACAGCTGTATACGAAGTGGTGTCACACCCATACAAGCACTAGAGGATGTCACACAGATGATACAGCTTTTACACATACATGTGCAGTATACTACATTTGATTTAAGATACTTTGTAAAGAAACTTTAATATAGATGTGTGTATTACACATAAATGGGGGCCAGGGTATCTGATAAAGAACAACAGTTAAGGCTGATTAATAATCCTCTTCCATAGAGGACTGCCAAAACCAGATTGTTAGACCTGGCTGAAAGATCCCCTTCTGTAAACTTACTGAGATCCAGTTAGATTTGAAACTGTATAAAAAAACTTCTTGGAACAATTTCCTCCCCAACAACACTTACGTAATGCACCTGCTGAAAAGAACAGGGATTTTGGTGTTCTGGACTACTCCAGGAACCAATATTGGTGAATAAGCTTTCAAAAGTGTAAAACAAGTGAAGATGTGTAAAGGAGTGCAAAAGAAGTAGAAGCATTTTAAGGTTAGCTTTCAGATTTTACAATACAGATTTTAATTCTTCCTGAAAGGCAGCTGTTCTCAAATAGAAATACAGCATGTTTAGGAACCGCTAGATGATGGAATCATTACGTGTTCCTACCCACAAACTTCCATCTCTTAAGCATCATGTTTTACAAGGCTGTCAAAAAAATAAGTTCAAATGAAACCCTATAAAGGTTAACTCAGGCAACCTGAATGCAACAGCAAACACATAGTTGCATATGCATTAAGCATTCATATGTTTTTCCATAGCTACTGTATTTCCATGCTGTGAAAACCGGAAGCTAATAGCATTAAAGGGAATTAAACAGGAATAGTTATACATTGGACAATGCAAATCAGCCATGTGAACAAAAATAGTAAAAGAAAATTTTAAAGTCCCATACTAATTAAAAACCATTTGATTATTTTTTTAAATTCATCTCAAATTCCAATTGAAAATCCTGGGAAAAAAATGGGGAGAAAACTGTTACTTATTACTATTTTTGCTTCAAAATTTCCCAGGACTTGCAAAACACGGTGTCCAAATTAACCATCCCTGTACAGCAGGATGTCACTACTGTCTACCTTTTGAAGTGGTTTGGAGTAACACTTAACAAGGTAAACATTTAGCAAAAAGGCACACACACACACAAAAAAAAAAAAAAAAAAAGAAAAGAAAACCAAACAAACAAAAAACCAAACCACCAAACCTGCTGTGATGTGAAGAGCACCTCCATTTCCCGAAAGTAACATTACATAAATAAATAAATAAATCTGTCCAGTGGGGAAAACCTATCCAAATAAAAGAATCATAGTTTCTGGCTTTTTACTACAGATTGGGAGTAAGAGGAAGGAAATCACATTTGGGACTGGGAGCTCAGGGATTACTGCCTTGGGAGCGTAGGGAGATGGGGGAGAAAAAAAGGCCAAACACTGGAGAGGGGGAAAGGAAGAGAAGGAAAGAGAATGAGGAACGGAAGGTGCACTTACTGTTTGGTTATCTTCGTACAGCTTCAAGTCATACCCACTCAGCTCCACACAGAAAATTATTGCTGTAACCCCCTCGAAACAGTGGATCCATTTTTTGCGTTCAGATCTCTGTCCACCCACATCCACCATTTTGAAAGTCAGCTCTTTGAAGGTGAACTTATTTTCTACAATCCCTGTGGTCATGTCCCGAGAACGCAGAATATCTTCCACTGTAGGGATGTAGTCCAGTGCTGCAATCCTTTCTAGGTCATTTAAGTAGTATGCAGCATTATCCTCTAGGTGGTACTCATTGGAGCGGCAAAAGCACTCCTGCACACCAGGGTCTGCCCAGAGCCGTTTCATGACTCCCAGAAGCTCAGGGGTAATCTCACCCTTGCTCTCAGCTGGGCCTGTCAGGGCAAAAAGCTGCACAGCATCATACGCTCTGTCAGGATTGTGAAATTCTATCTTAAGGGTGGCTAGAGCCCGAATGATACGTGTGAGAGAATCAATTGCATTATAGATAATCAGAGGTTTGTATTCCTTACAGGCCTCCAGGTTAAAGCCACCACTATGGATGATTTTCATCTGCTTTACAATAGTACTCTTCCCAGAATTGCTGGTACCAAGGAGAAGGAGCTTAATCTCTCTTCGTTGTCGCTGACTTTCAGAGCGCAGGTGGCGGTCAATCCTACGGGACCGCCGCGCTGCCTCTTTCTCCTCAGAGCTTTGCCGACATCCCATGGTATAGCAGGGAGATACAGAAGGGAAAGGCTGGAGATTGTCTCACTCTGTTTGTGTCTCTGAAAAAGATCTGCAGTGTCTTTCAGTTCGCGTGCCAGGTACACCTTGAATGAAAAAAAAAAAAAAATGTCGCTATCCAATACCTGATGGTCCAAGATGCCTGTACCACCTAATTCAGTCCCAGCAGGGGTGCAAACACATGTAGATATGCAACCACAGAAATAGTCTCTTCAGTAGATCTCATGGCACTCCCCTTTCCAGTGCATAAACAGTGGCACATTCCTGTTAATGAAGGGACACTTCCCTTTGCCACAGTTTGGCTAGATCCATCAAATACTCTTTTCTGTTCTGCATAATTATTTTGCTGCCTTCTGTCCAAAGGTAAGGAGCTGCACTTTCTGCTTCTCTGCTCTAGCCCTTGTCTTTTAATTGTATTTTCTGGTTGCTGTGGTGATGCTGCTAGATAAAGCTGAAGCTCTTTTCAATGGTGCTGTACTTGTTTTGTTTCTCTTCCCCCACTTCTTCAGCTGATGCAGTTCAGCCCTGTAAATCTGTGCTTTCCACCTGCCAAACAATGAGAAAAGAAATGAATGAAATGAGAGACTCTGTTTCCTTGCTGCAAACCGCTCACTTTCTCCTCCTCTTCTAGACTTCTAAACCTTTTATTATCCCAAACAGAAAATACAGATGGAAAAATATGTAAAGAAAAGCAAAAATCTAAAACCCTAGCAAAAACATAGGGACAGCTGAAGCTTGCAGACCTAAGAAAATGTGGTTTCCGAACAATAGTAAATCAAATCTCCCTTTCAGCCTTCTGTGTTTTATTATCTAAACCTACATGAAAACAAACAGTGCTGAGCTATGCCCCAATTTCTCCCTCAGCAAGAGCTTATGGCAGTGCTTTTCCTGCACAGTCCTGTTCTGACTGGTTTTCCTGAAGTAGAAAATGAAACAGACTCACAAATACTTTTCCAAGTCTCTCTATTTATATCAATATCTTGTACTCAGACAGATGTCCTCCTGAGTTTTCTTTCATCTTTTCTGTTTGCACTGAACATTTAAATAACTAAATTAGGAAGCAAAAGGAGGTGATTAACTTTGCTTCATGATTTTGTAGAAGGGAGAGTTACTGATCTTTGCAGCATACAGTAACAGATCTTCTTTGCCCCCTGGAGAACAGTACTCTTAAACGTACTACCTGCATCTTGCTTAATCAATAGTGATGCACTGCTACAACAACTTTGTAAGCTTCTTTCCATAGCCAAGCTAAGTGTTATTAAGCCTCCTCTCTTCCATTTTTAATACGGGAAATTCTGAGATGCAGTAAAAGCTTACAGTGACTACAAGGTGAATGTTGCATACAAAAATCACAGGAAATGCCATCCCAAGCAAGGGCTGACAGCTTTTCAGTGACCATTGGAGCAATTATTCTTTTCCAAATTAGGGGTTAAGCCTGCTAGTTGGAACTCTGCAGAAGGCAACAGCAGGAAGCAGTTACCTCTCACAGAGGGAAAACACATTACTAATAGCTGATTGGTGATAACTTGCCTCTTTTCTAGGAAGGCCTTGCTGCTCCCACTGAGCTCTGAGCACAGTGGGCAGCAGAATCACAGATGTCATGGCTTCCTCGCCGTATGCTGGCCCCAGCTCACTTTGGCACCTATCTTGCTGTCTGTTTACTTCTGTCTAGAGGGTCTTCAGTGAGTATTTTTACAAACTAAGAAAAATTTCAGAGCTTACTAAAGAAATATAACTTCTACTACATTTTAATAAGACTAAGTCTCCCAGATTCCATTTTCAAAGTTGCCCTAGAAATCTTTGGAAGTTTTTCCTGCACAAACTTGCTAGCGTTTCAATGTAGCTGTGACAAAGCACTAAAATACATATTGAAGAGGATGGTTCCACACTACTAGGAGAGGGACAGAATAATCCAAGCCAGATGTTGAACCTCTAGCTTTTGTGAGAAAAGAAACTGAACTACAACTACTTGCAACCTCATGTACTGTACTTTCTCTCTTTCTTAAGCATCACAGCAGAAACTTTAGTGAACAAAGGATATTTCAGCACTCCAAAATAGTAATCTGTAATTAAGTATTTGAAATGGAGCACTGGATTTACCAGTATGTATTTTTCCTTTCCCCACATCACCTATATCATAGGATAAGATTCACTTACATAGATATACAGCAGGATGGGGTGGGTCTCATTCCTACTTAGCCGCACTGCTCTGGTTGAAAAATATGCACTTCTATTTACATGACTTCTATTTTAGTGTGCAACATGTATTTATTAATGCATATACATTTAATAGTACATGTTTTGTAAGACACTGTTTTATCGTTGAGAATTTTAACTCTTGGTTTTTGCCTTGCCAAAGTCATTATCAGCCAGGGATTTCAGTGAGATCTTGCTTTACCTTCTCAGTAGCTGTGACTATAGTAGAAGTTAATTATGTCAAATAATAGTTTTAGCTAACCTTTAGATAATGTTAACTGAGATATGGCACAGCATAAAAACTTCAAGACGGAGGCTTCACAGATACAGATAAGGACAATTACATCAGCTGCAGTACTGAAGAAGGGTTATATGGTTAAAATAAAGAATAAAGCTCAGTTTTTTGAGATTCTTAGCATCTCACATTTACATGAAAAACCATCATTCTTAGAACATTTATTTGGGAGGGTAGAAGGGGGGAAATAAATTATATATCTAGGATTTCATTCCTCAGATGGTAGAAACAAATGTAATGATCTCAGACTCTTCTGTTTTGCAAGAGGTATTAACTATTCTGTTATGTGTATATTCTTTGTCACAGTGGGCTATCCTAATCTTAGTTTCTGTATTTTGTATAGCTTTCTCTCTGAACATGTTTAAAGTCACTTACAGTTCTCTTCTAATTTATGATGGGCTGACAAGTGGAAAGGTAGAGTGTATGTGTCTGCTTTGAGACCCAAGTCTGGTATGCATCTCTGGGCTCTACAGTTCTGTAACAGCATCTTGGCATTAGGCAGGTTCTTGCAACACACTGGATCCCTTTTCAGCAGTTTCCAATACAAAGATGTGAAGGTATCTGGGAATGTGAAACGTGCACGTATGGAGGGACAAACAATTACAACAATCATTGTTAATCCCTTAACATCAGAGAAAAAGGTATAGAGACTGGACAGAGTCAATGGATGACAGTTTTACATATTCATTCCTGAAGCTTCCTGAGATGTTAGCCTGGGACGGTTGAACTTGCAATCACTCACTCTTAAATACTTTTACTGATTCTATATTTATCTTGATATCCCTTCCTAACTCTAACCCTGCTTAAGGGAGATACATATAGTTGAACTAATGTAGACCTGGATACAATTCATGACTACCAGGATAAGTCAGTATAGGTCAGGATTGGTACCGGTGTATTGAGGAGAGCATTACATTTTAGTCAGAAGAAGGTGAATAGATGTTGCAAACAATTGCAAAATTGGAACTCTGACCACAAAAAAGCGAACACTCAAAAAACCAGTATATGAAGTATACCAATTAAAATGTGCTTTGATATCCCACTCATTCCTGTCTTTCCTTAGACTCCCAGAACACTATTAACATACACATTTTCATAACAGCAGCTTTTTCTCAGTTCTGAAGACCTCCCATACAGTATTTCTACTTCCACTCTTCTTTCTTGCTCCTATTTAAACCCGCATTCTCACTACACTCTTTAATCTCCATGCTCTAACACCTGCCTGTAAATCCATCCCAAATCCACATGCATGAAATTAATTAACTAGAACAGGACTTCTACAGTAACCGATTCCAGAAACTAACCATGACAATCTTATTCTCAGTTGTTCTAAACTAGTTATCCAATCAGTACAGCGAGTCACCTCTATGTGACAGTTCGGAGTGCTTATCTGTCATCTTAGCCTGTATGAACCACAGTGTATGAACAGGCTTGTAATTTAAGCATTTTGGATACCTTAAATTTAAAGATGTCTGAATCCTTTGCCCCAAATGCACTGTGTATTGTTATCACCTGGTTTAAAATTCTACAAAAGAGTCTTAATATCAGCTATATTTGTCTTACTTCCCTTTGCACATCAGGATATTAGCACATGAAGAACAGATTAATCAGCAGATAATTAAAATAATAGCATACATATTAATAGAATTGTAATTAGCACAACTTTACTTACTCTAATGCATCAGAGATGTGGAAAGGAAAACCCTCCAAAATGAGGAGTTATACTTTCTTCAAATAATTGGCTTTTTCCAATGGTCATAGAAGATGAAGAATAAGAGTTGAGGAAGCTGTTTCTTAATGAGTAACTTCCCAGCCACACAGAGAGAATGAAATTACTGTATTAGATATCAGGCCAATTTCTTATTTTAATTATATAAAAATTAAAGTTGGCTCCTTAATCATGCTTATTCTGACATGTTCAGAACATTTAAAACTGGTTTTCCTTTAAGTCCTCATTAACGGAGGCTTCATTTTCATGTCATTAATAAGATCATTGGTTGAATTTTTGTGACATTTTCTGTGCATCTCTGTGATTAAAGATGAAAAATATTGCAAGAAGCACATATGGTACTCCCTCTCCTCTCTTTATTCAAGCTTCATCCTGAAAAAAAGAGGCTTGCGAGACACCAGAATCAAGAGGATACATACTCCTTCCAAAATGCATCAGTACTTATGGTGAATCTGGAGATTTTATGCCCATATAAGATAAGCAGATCTTTTTTAAACTTTATGTTATCAGCCTCAAAAATCGCTTATGACAAACAGTTTGGTAGAAAGACACTTTCAAGAAAAAATTATTCTTTTCAGACAGCCTGTACATTCTGTAGAGTATTTCCTATTGCACATTTCCACAACACATTCAGATGCATCATTCATATCACACGGTGTTTTACATATCAACTATTCTGCTAGCCATTCATTAATATGTTTAACACAGAAAAGGACGGAGTAGCACCTCCTTATTGTAGGGAAGACCAGGAGTATGTAAACACTGTGTAAATGAGTTTTACACTACTGAATTTCCTTTTTTTTGGCTCCTAGTCACTCCTAATGCATATATTGCAATGATATATGGATATCACTGTTTCAAGTAGGAATACAATGAGGTGATTATATTATTGCTTTGTAAAGCAGAGTAGTAGATACTATTTCCAAATAGTTCACTACAGTAAGAAAGTTTGATTTATTTAAATAAGTTTGCCCACATAAACTGAAAAGCATCTTCCATGTTCACAGTTGCTACTTTTTAAAGTTCAGAAAAAGAATAACTTTACAAACCATTACGTCACTACGTTTTACTGTCCTGGCTACATAGAGATGAACTTCCTC